TCCCTACACTTTGCTGAAGGGCAGCTCTCTGTAATATATTTCACTGGTAATATGCTTCACTGTTTCACAGAACACTGCTTCCTAATGTTAGCTGATCTTTCGTGCAAGCTATCCACTTCAATAACCAGAAGAAAATGAATAGTTAATGAAGCCTAGTTTAGAACAGTTTTTGGATTCTCACAGCAGAGCTGCTGAAAACTTCTGGCATATCTCTGACAGATTCTAGCTCCCATGGAATTCTTTCTAGTCTGTGTGATTTTGGCACAAGGGACAAATTAGCTGGTGTTAAAACTAAGCTCAGAAGCTACCTCTTTTCTTTTGACATTTCAATGAAATACCAGATAGTTTGAGAGGTGAGGATACTACAAAAGCAGAAGCAATTAAGATGTAATTCTGAACTCATATAGTTGACAACAGGGAAACCCAGAAACTAACAACAAAACTTAGTCACCATTTTTAGGGTGGCTGATGTTTGTGCATACTAACTTTGCCATATACAAAGACCCAATGGAGAGGTCAGCACAAACATTTCAAGGAGTCTGTAAGCTCAACAAGTAGCCTTTGTGCTGAGTTCTGCATCTGCATTATCCAACACTAAGCCACTGAAGGTCTGTGTTTTTCACTAATACTTTCTCAGCCTGTAGGGCTGAAGACTGTCAAGTTTCAAATCTCAGTGGAAAGATATGCCCTTAAACAAGCCAACACCGGACACTTGTCCCTACATGCTTACCAAAAGCACAGTTCATCACACAGACACATAAACCAGAGGTTATAACATAAATCCCTGTTATGCAAGCAAACATCTGCTTACTGGGAAAGAGGACAACAGGGCTAAATCACAAGACACATGGGCATGTTTTGCCCACTGGTTAGAAGTGTATGTCTGTCAGCTCAAGAAAGAAGTAATGGCTCTGTGTCTTTGGATGTTTACACAAGTCATCTGTGTCTAAACAGAAGACCTGTTTCCATGGTCCACCTCCCTGTTTCCTAGTATTGTAGGATAAAAGCACTGAATAGTCACCAGTTGAGACCAAAATTGTCATTCTTAAGAAAAGCATCCACCTCTGGGATCTAAGCCCTACTGCTGTAAAATCCACTGTCAGTGGGTTATTTTATGGAATAGAGTATGCAACTAGCCATTAAAAATTCCCACTCTTGGTGGAAGGCACTTGTCATTTTGTTACTGACTGTTCTGACAGATGGTGCCCCATCAGCAATGCATCGTCCCCAGACAACCCCCATGCAGTGGTGTTCGTTAATGAAGCCAGTTCACACTATAAATGACTCTGCTGCCAGCAACACAAAATGTGCTGTTGTCATCTGTGGATGTGGATGGTATGAATTATGGAAGCTCACACATGGAGTAAAATAACATCTTTCCTTTAACCCCTTCCAAAACAAGCACTATCAAGCCCACCATCATCAGTCATGGTGCTATTACATCCCTTTCTCCACCCTTTATCACACCTTTATGTCCAGCTCTGAGTTGTGGTATGCATTGCCCTGTATCTCTTTTGTGCCTGGCAGGTTTTGCTTCATCCTTAAGCCAAAGTCCTTCTTTATTGATATGTAGCCTGGGTCTGTCTCTGCTCTGAACTCATCTCAGACCTTTTGACTTCAATTGTATCCTCATGTGCAGAATTAAGTGAGACATTTAAAACCAAAAAAAATACTTTGGATAGCAAGACACAGCTTTGCTTCTTTGGATGTTTGAATCCAAAGTCAAAGCTGAGAGCTGGAAGAAAAGGTTTCAGGTCTTGGAAAACTTTAGGATCAATCTAACACCTCCTGTTTGGAGCGCTGTCTGGCCCTGGGAGCTTCATGGCCCATGCATCTACCAGGCAAAAGATTAAATACTACAGGCTGAATAACAAGTGAGCAACTGTTTGCCTGTGTTGTGGTCATCCTCATCACATTGAGGCCTATGAATAACACTGAGCACGCCTTGTCCTGAACACTTCCTTTACCCAGACTTCACATCAAAGCAAACTATATATTCAAGACAGGTTTCCAACCTACGCTACAGTGAAAAATCTTTATGGCAGTGTATCTCAAGGCCGCATATCCAGTCTGAATTAAATCCTAGCAGATTCTGTAAATCACCATTTTTTCCTCGCTGTAGATAGAACTGTAACAGTTGCCGGCAAAACTTTCCAGCAATTCTAGGGGCCTCTGGACATAAAATTATTCCTGTTCTTCACCCAGTTCTCAGTCAGCAAAGGGAGTTTCTGGGCACAGAAGGCTCTTTTTGAGCAGATCTGAACAGCTGAACAAAAAAATCATGTCGTAAAGATGAAAGAGAAGTTACAGCATCATCATCATACATTTATGTGAAGTGTTCTTTTATACTTATCGATTTATGCAAGTGTGAATCCAAATGCACGTGCTTCCCTTAGGCTAGTCATAGGGACTGAAGAAGCAACTTCCATGGTTCACATAAGTGGACTTCCACAGTTCACTTACTCTCCCTACTTGAGAAGACACATTTTCCTCTGCTGTTTCTTCACAAAACTGACATTTTCTTTGATAGGAAAGAGCCAAAATTATACATATTCCATCACTTTACAGGCATGTGGTAATTTATGTGGGTCAGATGCATGCTGGCTCTGGCAGCATATTTTAGAGGCATCTACAGATGCCTGGACAGGGCTTTCCAGATTCAAGCTGTTCTGATGACACAGAGGGTGGGGTTCATCTCATTTAACTTTGGGTGCCCAAAAGCTAGGCACCTAGTCCAAGACAGTCATCTAGATTCCTGTTGTAGGCTGTGGAGACAGAGAGGAACAACCAGAGGGTAATTTATCCTAAGACTGTTAGAACAGAAGACATATGTATCTGAGACCTTCCAAAGCCCTCATCTGTCCCCACTGCCTAGAGTGACAGCCTGTATCACAAGCTTAGACTGAATGCCTATGTTCTTGACAATTAAAAAGAGGTGAGATAAATCTTGCCCAGAGGACGTAGAGGTTTCCTGAGCAATAGCTGCAAGCGAACAGAACCCTTAAGCCCCTGTCAGGACTGCTGGTCCTGTGTGCATAAGCGCTGCTGGCTGCCACATCATGTTGCGAATGTGTTTGGAAGTTGTAATGAGTGCCGGTGCAAACAGAAAAGCTCCACAGCTCTTTGGTATGTATAACATAAAAGGGGGTAGCAAACCCAGACAGGCAGGACTCCTGGGAAAAGGAGAGACCCACCTCTGTCCATGTTGTGCCATTTCAATAGCTCTGCGAGCAGGGACTGGGGAGCCGCCATCCGTCACACTGAGAACCTCCATCGACTTCCTTTCTGGCCGCCGCTTCCCATGCCTGTTCAGCATTGGGGAGTCCACACGCTTCCTGGGGGGATCTTTATGAAAAGAAAACACAGTCAGCTGAATTCGGCTGTATTCGACTCACACAGGTTGGTTAAATCCTCTCAACAATCTCATTCTCACTCCTCCCCTTATAGAGACAGGTATCATAGAGATGAAGCTGAACATTTGCAGCCTCCCCCTTCTTCCAAATTTGCAAACATTAAGACATAAGTTGCAATCCATCTACAGAGAGAAGGAGCACTGCTACTGCCCTGAATGTACAAGCACTGTAAAATAAAGGTACAACTATAGCATAGCGTGCAGAAATTACATTGCAAAGATGATAACAGTAATAACAAGATGATACCATAGGCCATAGCACAAGCTGTTAGCCAGAGTATAAGCCATCTAGGGATCCTGTATATGTACTCAGGTTGCTAGAGCTTGCCTTTGATGTCCTTGATAGCAAGTTTAAATGTGACACAGGGACGTGAGCACACTTTGAACTCAAAACTGCATTCTCCTCTGAAAATAGACCCTTTTTTGCATCTTTAGGTTAGATTTCATGTTTTGCCTGCTGCTTTATATTTCTCCTTCTTCAACACTACAAATTAAACATACTAGTCTACCTGGGATGAATCTCCAATAAGAGCTACTAAAATTGATCTCGGAGGTCATTGTACAGCTTTTACTGCTATAGTGAATGAAATTCTTTACACTTTTTATTGTGTAACATTTCTATGAGGTATTGAAATGCTATTTTCACTTTGCACAGTGAAAACTGAGGTATGAGATATTTTAAGGCAATTCATTCTTAAAGCTGCTGGCCATTTACTGAGGTTCTGAGGAGCATCTAAATTGCTCTGAAAAGAGTCCTTAGACACCAAACTGCACTGCAGAAGGTGACTTGCCAAACCATACAAACCTCCATGGTGAAGGAGGAAACCAAATGCAGACCTGCTAAGATTATTTTATTACTAACATCTCTCACGGCATCAAAACAGTAAAGAGGAGGAAGACAGAAAAAAAATATAGAAGGATCTTCTTTTATTTGGTTGGGCTATTCCCCTTCCCTGCCTCTACTTAAAGACATGTTTTTAATTTTAGTGAAGAGTCACCACTTGTAAAAAAACGCATCCTTCACCCCTACAGTTAGAAAGAAGCTCACAGTGCCCAGCCCCTAAGGCTTCTTCCTCTGCCAGGATTCCTTTGTAAAAACAGAAATACCACAGAAATAGTCTGATGGTATTATTTTTATTATCCTGCCCTCCTCCTCCCCTCATCTGCTTGTTTGTTTCTTCTCTCTCTCACATCATGCTTTTTAGAACAAGATCTCTTTAAAGCAGTGCTTATTCTTGAAACAATGTGCATGAGCAAAGACAGCTCAAATGCAAATGGCTAGTGACAACAACAGAACCTATTACTGTATAACTTATGCTGTTTGTATTAACAGTAATAATGTTCCTGTTAAAAAATAATTAGAAAAAAAAAAGCAGTTGCATCTCATTCCATTTCAAACTATGTTCAGTAGTAAAAATTAGTAGAAAATATTAGTAGATGCAATGACTTCCAGACTAGGAAAAATATGTATTTTGTAAAGTTAAGGGAAAAAAAAAGGGAGATAAACCTAATAAACCACATGCAAGTGGTCAGAAGTAAGTTGGGACAAGGTTTAGACATTTTAAACTCTTGCTTCTTCAAAGAAGTCCAAAGCTTGAGAAAGGATTCACACCACAGGACAACTGGTGGTATCAGAAGTGCGACTAGAGCCAAGTAACACACGTAATGACAAAGTAAGTATGTTTAGTACCAGTGACAGAGTTTTGCAGACGAATATCAGCATTAGAAAGGAAGGTGGAAGAGTGCCGTTTAAAAGAAATGAAAAAGAAGAAAGAAGAAGGAAGATTAAGAAAGCAGCTAATGTCAAAAGAATGAAGATAAGTAAACTCAGACTGTATTGATGCTAGCTAATAATAGAGTATAAACAAGAAAGCTGGATAGAGGCAAGAAAATTAGCTTATGAATAGATATTTCAAAAGGCAATTTGATCCAAGCATGTTCAAACCAGAAGACTTTAGTAAATGGAAATTCAGCTGAATGACACTTACAAAAGTGACAGGCCAAATATAAGGTGCACATTAAAAGACAGTGAAGAAGAAATTTGAAGAGGAATTAGCTGAAGACTTGAATAACGGTGTTATGTATAGCCATCAGAAAGAGAAAGCTTGAGAGGACAACAGCCAGAAGAATCATGAGGGAATCAACAAAACAATTAAGGAGAAGGATAGCACTAACAAGCTAAATGGTTCTTTAATATTAGTCCTTGCTGCTAAATATGCTGGAAGATACTGATTTCCAATCTATATTTTAAACTATCAAAGAGAGAGACTAAGAAAAAAGACCAAAAAACACCTATAAATTCAACAACAGCAATTCAGAAAAGTTTGATGGAAAATCATCCAGAAGCTTGCATGAGTGTGGCTGAGCTTCTAATAAAGATATTTGATTCTTCTTTAAAACTGGCTACACTCCTACTCTACGCATAGCTGAGGGTAGCAAGTATTGTACCTATTGTTCAGAAGGGCCTGTATAAGAAACAACAGGGCACCGAGTCTGTCATCCTATCAAGTCTAAAGACACTAAAGAAATAGTTAAATACACAGCCATTCTGCCGTAAAGACTAAAGTGGAGTCATATAAAAACAGTGGAATATTTTGTGGTAGCACAAGAATTAAAAATAGGAAAACCTCCAGTGTTTGCTCTTCTCTTCTTGACTCACTGGAAATATTTCAGATGAGGGAAAAAAATCAAGTCCTAGTCCAGATCTGTGATAGTTGTGAGGATGCATTTTCCTTTTATTTCACATCAGAAAAGTGAAGTAATTCCTAAGGATTTTTACAGAGGAAAAGAGAATTGTATAGGTAATGATCCAATTATAAAGGCATTCAACTGGAAGATGGGAAAATAAATGTTCAAATTCTGAGTTTGAATGAGGCACCTATATCCTCTATGGCTGTTCTGTCTCAGTCTTTTGTTCTCCAGTTTATTAAGAAGCTGCACCCCACAAAAGCCTTTTCCTCAAGGAGACATTAGATGACATTCATTCACTTTAATGAGAAGTTTCTCATTTCTATGTTTTCAGGTAAAAAAAATGAGCTGGACTTCAATATGTTGAAGGTGGTCCTTCCCTGGCTTTTTAAGAATACTTCACATAGCTGAAAACAGACAAAAGGGACACCAGTAGAGAGTACTAGTCTGAGCTGGCCATATTTTTACCTGCATCCATCCTTTCTGAGACCTAATATGCAAAGAAAGACTAAAAAGAAAAAAAAACTCTGAGATACACATTTTTTTTTTTTTTTTGCAGTAGTGCACAACTCTCATGGAAGTGGTTTCTTCAGGCTGCTGTTACTAAATCTGTTTCTTTTTCTATGCTATTCTTTGTTTGTGCAAGGCCATTGCTAATGGGTAATGATAATTCATCAGAAGCATGAGTGCTCTTAATTAAACTTGCCCCATGTTCTCAGAGATACTGCTGGGAACAGAGGAGGTGGAAACCCCCTGTGGAAGAGAAAATACAACCTACAAACACATAAAGAATATTGCTCAAATAATCTAAAATGTGCCGATGATGCATTCGGAGTGGTGTTTCCCTGTTGGGTACATTTTTCTCCTTGCACAAAGAAATACAAGAGTGGAGCATAATATTTCAGTTCAAACTATGGAAATACTTTGGCATGTGGAAAAGAGATATATGATATGTTTAGGATATCGCTATATACTCACATGCTGGATATGAAGATTCTAGAGTCACCTTGCTGCTTTTCTTATGAAAAAAAGCATTTCTAAACCAAGATGATGGTGTCTTTACATGGCAGGCTAATCTGTTTGAGTTAAAAGCTGATCAGTAAAGTGCTAGATGACAAACTGCACTGTGTAAGGGGCTTTTAACCACAGGACCTGCAGCTGGCACATCTACCCATCTTCATCAGGGTCCTTGCTAACATGCTCTCCGTAGCTCCAACCAGGTAAGAGTTTAAAAATTACTGTGTTAATGAAGAATTTCCATCTCTTCTCCCACAGAAAAGTTTTCCCTGCAAAATTATAGGGCCTGGAGCCTGGAATTTGGATAAGGTAGTAATTCAACAGAGTATTAATAAACTTACAGTTCAATATGCTACTGCCCTGTAGACTTGGGAGATTCCAGGCTTTCCAGTGAAAATAAAGAGCACTTTGCTTCTAGCCTTTAAAGCGCTTAAATACAATACCTGAAAATCACAACACTACTGTGTAAAAATGCTGTTGCAGGTCAATGGTAGAAGTGATTAATCCTTTATTAGTTACACTTTTGACACTCTGCAGAGCAAGAGTCACTTATATAGTTAGCTCGTTAGGGAAGGATCTTACATGTTGTCTAGATTAGTGAAGTCCCCAGTCATCAGCAGTACCCTAAAATACTTCAGGAATAAAGTGGTATCACAAAAGCTTTTTAAGCTATATAATCTTAGTGCATATTAAGCTTTTAAAATCTTTCTAAGACAGACTAAACATGAGTTTGATGTATGTACTATAAACAGGAGATGTTATTTATACTTTCAACAGTGTATACCTACAGAAAAGAGAAAGTGTGCCTATATAACTTCACAGGGATACAATAATACACAGTCTTACTAACTGAAATCCAGAAGCAGCATTTCTGCAATACTGAATGTAGATTAGTAATTAGAAAATCCTGCCACTAGATTATACTGCTTCTAAACCTCATCTGCTTCCAGAGAACCAGCTTGCGAGTCCATGTGATATACTTGAAACCAAGACCAACTTGGACGTTTCTGCACTGTGAGACAGACAAGTCCTGAAAAATTTAGCTTTTGAGTTTAACCACAGAACAGACCTGCCTGCCTCAGGCTGAAGATGCTCACCAATACTGTAGCCCGTTTCAATGAGAAGGTAACAGTGGTGCTAGGTTTTGGGTATGTATTTAGAAAAACAAAAAGGTGAAGAGGAATTAGTTGAGATGGGTTCATAGTGAGAGAGATCATATCTGGAGTACCTATTTCATTTCTAGGGGGAAGATCCTCATCTTCATGACTAGGATACCTCTCCTTCCGGTCAAGCAGAAGAAAATAAATCATTTTTTCTTGGTTTTCTCTGGAAAAAAAAATAAATCTTTAAATTTGAAGAGGGAAAAAAAAACCCAAACCCACACCAAAACATCAACATGCAGATGAACTCTTCTCATCAGTTACAGTTATTGTGAAAAACCTGGAAATGGTCATGAGCCTGGCAGCTAGATAGAGCACCCACAAAGCTTTTGAAAACCTTGATGTCTCCAACAAGCAGATAGTGAGAAAGAAAAAATGATTCCCATGTTACACACAAAGAACAGAGGCACAAGACAGACAAGGTAACATGTCCACAGGAAGTCCAAACCAAGAGTGGCAGCAACACAGGTCTCCAGAGCCTCTAAGCGCTCTTTCCACTATGTGTCTCTCTTAACACCTCACAGGAAATAACCAGCTCTCAGGCAAGGCTTGAAATAAACAAAAATTTGCCAACAATGGCATATCTAACACAAACCACAGCAATGAAACCTCCTCATCCAGGCTGCCCATCTTTTCATGAAGTTTCCTTGCCTGACAGCAGGAGAAACGACAGCACTATGCCTCCAAGGCTTCTGACATGTGGTGCAAGAAAGGCTCAGTGCTTGCTCCCAACACCTCACTAGCAAACGAGCAGCCAGAAAGCGAGAAGTTGCTACTGGTCCCTCACAGTGAGAGACATTAGTTAAAGTGCTCTCTGCCTCTCCCCAGGTTTATAAGCATCCCAGTCCACGGACACCCAACTGTAGGAAGACGGAGCAAGTGCTTACTCTTCTGACAACAAGTCCTGTAAGAGTTTATTTCGGTCACGGAAGCAGCCTAACGAGTGCATGCTATCTAACACGTCTGGATCAATATCCTCCAAGGAAGGGAGAGAACGAATCTGCACCTTTCGAGGGATTGGTTGCTCTGGTTCTGGCTCATTCTTACCCCCTCTGCAGAGGAAAAAAGATGAGAGAGAGAAAGGGGGCAGGGAAAGAAGGAGAGGAGAGAAAAGAAACATGAGTCACAAATGAACTCATACTCTGAAACACAGCCTGCAGCAACAGATGGAAATAGCTTGTTAAATTCCCACTGAGAGTCCAGAGCTCCCAACCAGACAGACAGTCTTCTCAGAAGAAACTGCCATGAAGGCTAAGAGTGACCAGTACCTTGTGGATTTGAGTCTTTAATGAGAAATGTCTGCATTCAGTCAGAAAGGCAGTAGGAACTTCACTTACCAGTGCCCTCATAATTAAAGCAGCTGCTCAGCATCCTAATGCCAAGCATTTATAAAACACTACACGGTTTTAGAGATGGTCTCTCATCAGCAGGCCAGACCTCAGGCTGTCATGCTGAAAAGTACAAGCTGAATGGTTCTCTTTCAAAGAAGGAGCTATGAACAAACCTTTACTGTTTTGCACCAATTCTGATTACAGCCAGCATTGCAGCAGTTTCTTTCTTTAAAGCTTCCAACATGATTAAGAGACGTCACTGTTCAGGTCTCAGCTTGACATACTTTAAAGGGTTTTTTAGGAAACTGCCCTGTTATTTACATGACCAAATACAACAATCTGCTTCTTTTCAGACATACAGATTTGAAAACTGTGGCTCAGGTGTGATGCCCAAGGTCAGTGGCAGACCTTGGAATACACGCTTAGCAGTAGAGCTTTTTTAAAGCAGTAACACAGGCTTCCTGCACAATTACCTCATCCCATTCACTAGGCTCAGGAAATACTGATTATTAGCTGCAATTAAAGGTCCTGACTGTAAGAAACCGATCAAGATGTCAGGATATTTATAACCGATGCAATGATACATATTGCAGGCACCCTGAATATCCTTTGATTTTGTTTAGGTAAGTAGTGAGCAATTTATGCAAACACTATCTACCCAAAGAGGTGGGTTTGGCGGCAGTGGTATTTTGGTTGGAGAAACTGTCTACCCTGAGTCTCTTCTATTTCTCAGTGTATGTGCGATGTTGAGGTTTTCACACTCTCTGGCTAAGGTCCTCCCAGTGTTGAGGTTTTCCTACTCTGTGGGTAAGGTCCTCCCTTTTCTTTCTGTGACATGAATGTGTGACTGTTGGGTCCAGGCTCCCAGGATGGGCAACAGGAATTTGAAATATTTAAATTGCACCAGATGGGAGTATTTGCTGTTCATGGGGGTGTGTTTGGGCAAGAGATTCTTCCTTTTGATGCTAATAGACGTAAGGTTAACAACTTGTGAACTTACTCGCAGAGCTTAAAATGTTCTGTGCTCAGATGTGAGCTATCCAAGTACCTACACAGAAAAAGGAGCACCAAATAAAATGCCCCTAAGTTTTTACTGGGTAGGTTAGAAAGCAACTCTGGTAGGATTGTACACATGAGCTCGAGGTCTCAGCTAGTGCAACAAAATTGGAGGCAATGCAGATTATCTCCTCTGAGGTAAAAAGGTAAGACAAAGTCATTGCAGCCAGGGCTCTGATGCTAGGACAGGGCAGTTACATGCTACACCTTTATGACAGGAGACTGCTAGACGCTACTTGCAGTTCATTTTTAAGCAAGTTGAAATAGACTTGTGAGGCATCTGCTCTATTAAGCATGTTTGTGGGACATCCCTTGCAGAAAGACTCCTCAGAAATTTTCATTTTATCTTCTCCTGAAGCAGTGAAAATGTGCTCATCCCCTCCTGGATACATATGGAGTCAGACTCTGGTGTGCACTACATGGGTCATGACAACATGGGTCAGATTGCACTTCTCTTACACTGAGCACTCATGCATCCTGCTAATTTTTACTCAGTTTAGGGTGCTGGAAACAGAATATACAGGATGGAGAAAGAATCTACACCCTGGGATTCGTTCTTGTGTTTCAAACCACTAAACAGAGCTTCTGATGCCCCCTTGGAGTCTCGCAAAAGTGTCTGTGTCTTCTACAATGACAGCATTATCCTGAATTTACAAGCTAGATTAAAAAATACCTGTTCAACTAAAGAAACACCTTATTCCTCAAGTGCCCTGTTGTTAAGAGGTAGCTGCTCCTACCTCTTAGCATCGGGACCTAGATCTCAGCAGGTAATAAGCAATGATTAGATAATAACCTCGTGCTATAAAAGCCAGTGATGACCTTGACATTAAGATAAATTCTTGCAGGATGGACCTTTGAACAGCAGATGAGTGGTTTTGGTTTTTAATCATCTGCAATTCACTTCTAAAAAGTATTGACTTAATTAATCACTCGTTATGTTACAAGCAGATGTCCTTAAGGTTTTTGAAGAGATTAAAAAGAATTATTGTTTTTTGAAATATCAAGAAAATCTGGCTTTCCTGCTCGAGGCCCTCATCTATAGCAGAATATCACCTGCAAAATTCTTTTGTATTGATCAGCATGGGAGCCATTTCTAGAGAGCACAGCATGCCATCTTCTGTGCACTGAGAAGTAGCTTTTCCTTATGCCCTGCACCTGGTCAACTTCAGACGTAGTCAGGAATTTTCACACCTCCTCATCAGGTACAAGCAAAATCTGCAAAGAACTGCCTTGTCATTTGGCAACGCAATTCAGTGCTTCAGGAAGTGAAAATCACCAGGTCTGGGCTGTGATTGGCATGACTGTATTGCCTGTTTCATTCCCAGTCTAGCAGAAAGTGACAAATTTGTTGCCCACATAGACATCAAACAATGTCACACGATGAATACTGCAAATCAGATATATTCTTTAAAGGCTTGCATGAATGTAATTGCTGCTTTAAAACCCACCCTCTTTTGTGAGGATCAGTGCATACAATGGCTGTGATTCCAGACCAGAATGGACTTTTCCAGTCTCTCCATGAAATTCTCTGGTGAATCTCACCAAGATGCACATTTGCATCAGTGCACAGAAAAGCAGAACTGGTACAGGGTTTTTGGGGTTTTTTTCCCCCCGATTTTAGTAAATTTGGTACCTTCACAATTAGGGCAATAACTCAATGTTACAGAAGTATGTACTTAATAGTTAATTTTGCCCTCTTGCTTTATTAAAAGAATGTTAAAATAACTATTTATTTGCCGATTTATGATAACCTGTGCTTGAGTTAAAAAAAATTATTTCAATTAAAAAGGCTTAAAAACCGTCACTGAATTAATTTGGGTGGGAGAGCAAGAAGAACTGGAGGTTGGTGATGAAAGGTTTCTCTTTGGTTTATTTTTTCCTTTTTTTTAGGCTTGTGAATCACGATTTCAGCTTTCAATACCTGTTCCTCTGTCTGCCTAGTCTGCAATTAAATCTTTTCCTCAGTTTTACAGTAGCCTTAATATTTACTTGAAGAATTAAGTGAAATCACTTATATGTTCTGAGTATAACTTTCAGGTCAGTAACCTATATATGATGAAGAATGGAGTTTACACAGAATAGCAGTGTTACATGTAATAAAGAAAAAATGAAAGATGTGAGCAAACAGCCATAGAGTAAAACACTTATAACCCCTCCTTCTCTGTCAGCATCAGTATTTCCAAGCAAAATGAATGCAGAAAGGCTGTGACACATTACCAGATGAAAGTAGTTGAGTTTTGGAGGTGGCAGGGTTATTCACAGACTAAATTTAGCCAAAGGAGGTTAACCTCCTTAGGTCAATCCATGACCAGTATAGAGAAAATGACAGAGAGACTCATTAAAAAAACTATTTTGAGCAGAAACTTTGGTTTAAGCAATCTGAGCATACTTCTGGAAGAGCCTTCCTCTCTCTGTACTGACTACACTGGGAGTCTAGGGGAGAGTTGCTTTTCAAAACTGAGTTTCTACTTCTGAAAAAAGCCCCAGATGCTATTTCCACTGGGGCAGAAAACCGTTTACTGTGTCAATCATCAGAAAATCTGACCTTCATGGAGAAGTATATTAAAATGTTCAAACACTTATGTCTGCAAAGAAAAAAAATCTTCAAATTCTAAATCTCAAATAAAGTCATGAAATAACACCTGCCTAACTGTGCATGTGAGCCTGAGACAGCAGTCTTCTGACAGGTGAAAACTTCCAGGCAAGAATCTTGAGGAGGGTTAGAATAATACTGTAAGTGCTCAATGTCATTCCATTTTATTTCCTGTTCCTGTTCTGAGCAAAGCCCAGGGAAAGTCAACTCCACAAAGAAACAGAGGGGATCAAGTCTCCAGACTGATGTAAACAGCATTTATTTCTGCAATTACTAATAAGACATTATGGGAGGGGGATTTCAGAGATTACAATTGGAGATTTTCCCCCTCCATTTCTCCTACATTTCTCCATGAGAGTTTAAAAAAAAAAATCCCAAACTGCAGCAAACAACACTCCAGTCCTCCTTTGGTTTTAAAAGGTGGCATGTGTGGTAACTGTAGAGAGCATGCAGAAGCCATGGGCCAAGTGCTGCCACCATTTCAGGTGAACTAAGAAAAAAACATGTTACTCAACAGACTGTTGAAAGCCCTCAGATCCTATCAAAGTCAGGTAAATCCAGAAGTGAACACTGCCCATAAGACAGAATTAAGGAAAACAAAAGAAATCAGAACAAAGGTGTTTGGGTCGGTTTTTTTGGGGGGGGCTGGGGGGGGGTGTGTTTGTTTTTTTTAAATTGGTGACAGGCTTAAATGCTAGTTCATATCATCCTCAGATATTTCTCAAGAGCCTAATGATAGGATTATGAAGGCAGGACTTTCCTTATCACCCACCTGGGGAACCTGTAGCTATGCTGACCCCGAGAAGCATGTACCAAACCATCATTTCCTTGTTTAATACGTGATGTATTCTCCCTAGTTTGATTAAGTTATCAGCATTAAAAAAAAAAAGTTATTTACTTAGGTTTCTTGAAATGCTATCAAAACTACACAAAGTGCAAGGTCACTTTAAAAAGCCATCAATCTTCCTTATACCCAAACCACTAGACAGGCACGTAGTTTTCTCTGAGACCTCCTGTTTCACTGTCAAGACTGCTGCTTTTAATCAAGTCACAGAACTACTCTCACATCAACAGGTTATAAGGTCAGAAGCAGCCTCTTAGCTTGCTGCAAAGAAGGAGTAGGGATTATGAGACAGAAAAGCTCTTGCTCACAGGTGCTTACTTATCAATATCATAATTTTTGTTTCTACTTCAGAGAAAAGACAAGAAACAAATGAAAGCTTTCTTGTCAAGAAAGTATTACAAGGGATTGTCTGTAGCACTTGGATAGCAACCTAAATATGGCTGTTAGTTGGTGTTTGTTTGCTGATGACTTGTAGGTATCTTTTGAACACAGCAAGTTGCTGGACTGAATGTCTTATTTCAAACAATTGTTAGCCACTGTATAAAAGGTTCCTGGCTTGATATATACACACATGAAACTATGAGTAGCTAAGGGTAAAAAAAAAAAAAAAAGATTAGATGCCTTTCTGTCCTCTGCCCCTTTCTTTACCTGTGTGAAAGCCACTTTCAAACTCCAGTTCCTCTCCTCAGAGATCACCAGAATATCAGCTCCCGTAAAAGAACCAGTAATGAATGCATGCAAAAGTGAACTTAAAAAGTGTTACTTACATATACCATATGTGTTTCTGAATATGTTCTAGCTGTAAAGAAAAAGAAAACAAGGAATTAGTGCTGTAAAACAGAAAAAGTAACTCCACAAGACATCCTTATTCAAGACTTATCCAATTAAGTAAGTCCAACATTCCAGAGGTGGATCCGTGCAGGAAATTTATGCTGCAAGAAAGAGCATGCTCATTCTCACCCAACCCAGTGGAAATAAGACTACAATTCTGGACATAAGCAATCAGTCAGGAGCAAATCCCAGGAAAATGCTTATGTACAAGACTTCACAGGAAAGCGTTTTGACAATTCTTCCAAAGCAAGTTTGCTTTAGAACTTTGGTAAATTCTTCCCTTCCTAAGCCCTTCCTTCTATAACCTAACTGAAGTCAACAAACTGCTCCTTTCTGTATGTGCGTAATAGCTGATTCCTTACACCTAAAGTTCATTTCTAGTTTTGTTCTGGAAAAAAGAGAGTGAGAGAAGGAAACAGAAATGGGTTCAAACAGATAATGTGAATAAATAAAATAAATTGTGCATGTGTGATATGACCTTCTGCCAGCACCCATTCTCGATTGGCTTCATGTTTATTATTCAAATCTAAAGACAAAGTAGAATAAGGTTCTATGTGGCGAAGGACTGATCAAAGCTGAACAAAGGCCTTGTTCACCTATGGAAGGCAGATCCCAGCAAACGTTACATGATGACCATGTTTTCCACAGGCATGGGGAAAATAAAGTAACATTCTTTTTCCAAGACAAACTCTTAACAGTAGAGAGAACAAACTATTCATATGACATACTCACAGCAGAACCTTCCTAATTTGGTTTATTTTTCCAGCAGCATTACAGCAGAAAAGAACTTTTCATAGATGCTGAGGGCTTATTCATTATGTGGACAATATTTCTCATATTCCTCATTATAAAGCACCTTTGCATGTGCAGAACAATATGCACACTCAGTGCACATAGGCTTGTGTTGTGCAACATGCAGATGAAAGGAAGGGGAGAGCTGGAAGGAAACTCCAGTGCTAATAGCTATGAGATGGAATCACAGACCCATTAAACTGGTGAGGAAGAACGGAGACAGCTGTCCTACTCTTACTACTTTCCAATTCAATTCCAGAATACTGAGAATCAGAGAGAAAAAAGAAAAAAAAAAAAAAGAAAAAAAAGAGGAACAGACAAACAACAAAATCTCAGAGACAGAAAGTAGGTATTTGCCAGAGAGAAAAAAAGAATCAGAGACCTCTGTGCTATGGAACAATAGCTTCATGTCTGGGAAACCAGGAAGATCTGAGGTCAGCTCTATATGGGCTCATTTTTTAAGTGAGACAGGGCTTTTTCTGAAAACAACGGAACAAGAGAATGCAGCTTAGGTAAGCATGACAAGAGGCTGGAGGGATCAGTATGAGAGACAAACAGCCTCCTTTAGAACCAGGAAAGAATATATCAACACTGCAATCAGAGGTGAAGTTGGTACTTGCATATCTAGCTGTCTTCTAGCCAGCTCAGGTGCTGGGAGCACCAATGCCCCGCAGACTGCACAACCATGGGCCCAGACAGACTTGCACAGCTTCTAGCTGTGGCTCAGCTCTGCCACAATAACTCCCCTTCATCACAATTCCCCTTGCATTAGGTACTCCCTTCATCCCTGCACTACTAAGAGAAAGGTGGAGTATTCCCAACACACTGCCATCTACCTTGACCAGCTTAACTTGAGATAAGGCACCCGTTATGGGTGTTCCCCTAACAGCCTGGAGACACAGCCCTCTGCCTTCTGGTTCTTCTGCAAGCTGAGGCACAAACGGAACATAAGAAGAGCATGCTTTGTGCAGCTTCCATGGGACAGGATTTTAGCATGGTTACTTATCAGGTCCATAGTACTGTGAGGATGTTCTAAGAAGTGTACTGTACCTCCTTTGCTTGGTAAAACCACCCTAAGAGATGCCTATCTGCTCATTTTTTCTTATATACCACATGGAGGGTTAGAGACATTAATGATTTCAGACAAGATGCAGATGATACAGCTAAGCTATGTCCAAGCCTCTTTCATGCTTGTTTCTCCAGCTGCATTTTCTGTCTTCATGGGTCACATTGTTCTTTTGTGCTTGCGATCTGCAGAAATGCCATGTTGAAGCAGACAACAGCACTTCATTTTCTGAGTCCAGAGAGGGGTAAGAAAGGAGGGTCAGCAGTGCATGTCTCAAGTCACAGAACCTCTGGGCTTCTTCAGAGATGTCAAAGAGAAACCCCTTCTGCCCACCCCTTGCTGATCAACCTCCTTCAGCATTTTTCTGAAAGAAAAGTCCCATAGCACCTTGATATATATTTGAAGGTGTATCAGAGCTCTCATGGCTGCTGTTTACCTACACATCTGCCATTCAATCCACATCAAAACCACTGCTGGGAAGTACACTGGGATATCCCAGATATGAAAAGTATTCTACGAAACCAATTTCTATGCTGATTCAAACATAATTGCGTTTAAATGTTATTACAAGTGTGCTTGCTGCTGCCAACATCTTCACTGCTTTTTAAAGGTAATTAATTAATGCTTTGTTGCTTTTTGTCTGCATTAAAGTGACAGGAGGGTTATGGGAGGGCGATTGGTTTTGACAAGGAGAAGTCTGTATGCTTTTTACTATGCAATGCAGGGGAGGGAGATACGCAGTGGGAGCTGATCTCACTCCTCCTGCCTTCATTTAAACGCAATGTTTAAATGCATTTAAGTGACGAAGGCATTTAACAACCCTTCCCAGAGGGTTCATCTTGCTGTTTGCACATGAGTGCCAAATTTAATGCCATTTCATGGAAGTTGTAAAAATACTGCCTCCTAATATCTTCTAGTCATTGCAGGCAACTGTCTCATGACGCCGCCTCTAAAACAAAAAAAACATGCTCAGATCATTTGCATGTACACAGTCAGAGGAGAGACTTCTGCAAGCTAAAATGCTGCAATGGAAGGAGAGGGGGAATTCCTTTATCATGGTTTTATGTAAAAATACTTCCAATATATATTGAACTTGTGTACTGAAGTAGCATCGAGGAGCCCCACTAACAGATGAGAGACCCAGTGTGATACAGAGCTGTACAAGCTCATCAGAAAAAGAGGTCTCCTCCCCCAAGGAGCTTACGTCTGAAGTCTAAGGCAGGGAACAACAGATGGAGACAGACAGACAGATGGAAAACAAGACAGCGTTGTCTACATCCTCAGCACTGATCTCAGCAGAGCGGTTGCCAAGCCAAAAAGTTCTGACCTGAAGAAAAACTTTCTCAAAGTCTGTGGATATGGATGAGGGCTTCTGGGCTTGAACTCATGTCAAGTTTCAAATTTCCCTGTCCAGAAGGGGAACAGTCTCAAATCCATCTGTGCACTAAATATGATGAATCTTCTTCATTCTCAAGATCCTCTAGTCTGAGCTTTAAAGCTACTGTATAATGTCAAGATAGAGACTTTTCTTGACCAAAGGATTCATGCTGGCAGTGCAAACAGCACTGGCAAAATCATTATCTGTATCAGTAGTAGCAGCTGTAATATAGGAGCCTCGAGGGACCTTGACAAGGGCAGGTATCACTGTGCTATGTGCACAGTGCATGAATAGATCCTTGGCAGCCTAAAGCTTACAGTCTAAATACATCAACTGGACAATTACCTCCATTCTACAGGTGGCAAAGTGAGATAATTCAAATTATGTGATAGGCACCTTACCATATGACCTTCTGGAAAAATGAAAAAGGAATCAGATGAGTTTTCCCTTGTGTTTTAGATATTATGACCCATGATTAGCATACACTAGACCCCAAAAAAATAAAAATCAAACAGAGAGCACAGAAAAGATTGTGAAAATGTGTGTAATTTAAGTTGGATAATATTCAAGGACAGGCATTTCAGACTATGTGGAAGACAAGCCAATCTACTCCAGAATACAATGTCAACACTGGAACAATAACAGCTCTATCAGAATAGCTTATTCTGCAGTATCTGCTCGGATCCACCTTGCTCTCAGACAATGTTTCGATAATGCTCATCCATCTTTAAAAGGAAAGTGGACCAAAAGTCTTTACTCTCCTGCCTTTGTATTTCTGTAGAAGAAAATATTGTCTGAGAATGCAAATGGATTCCGCTACAGGAGCTGTAATTCTCTGCTGTAGAGATGTTGAATCACTTGAAACCTCCAAGGAAAAAACCCATTCACTTTCTGAAGAGCACATAACTAAAAGAAATCTCATCCTGCAGTACTTCAGGTACCAAGAGGACTCATTCTCTTCGATAAACCTCAAACTTAAAACTAGTTCACTTTTCCCTCCTGACACTACTACTAGAAACCTGTCCCAGAACCCCACTAATATAGCTAATATGCTTCTAATTTCTAGCCTACTTTCATGTAAGGCCATTTGACATACGTTTGGTTTTCTGCCAGTATCTTCCTTTAGTTTAAATAATCCTTCCCTTCCCAGTTATTACCTCTAATGAACATGCAGACAGACAGTACAACCTTTCTTAGACATCATCTGTGTAGACTAAGTGGAGCTCTTTTAGGCTGTGCTATTCAGACAGGCTGTCTCAAATGCTGACCACATCAATACTCATTCTTTGTTTGATTTCATCTTTCATGAATATGGCTGGTCAGAAATATCATGACCAGCAGCTAGGATGAACCTGTGCAGTCTACTGAAAGAAGGACATGATTCTTTTATTTTAAAGCATGTTTAGTAAAACAGACCTAGTAAACAAGAGTGGTCAAGGACATCCCACTAACCATACCTCAGGCTATATAATATATAGCAAGCATGAACAAAATTCCACTAAGACATAATAAAGCCTTCTTTACATAAATGAATCATACACAGAAAGGTAAGACCTATTTCTTAAGGCAGGAAAGGGCCAGCAACAATAACTCTGAATATTCTTTTCTCCATTAAACCTCTCAAGCTCAAACACTGAAGCCGAATGATGATAGTTAAATGTGAATGCTAGTTCTGGTTTTGTTGATCATTTTAACAGATGGACTGGGGAAGGTGTGGGTGTGCTGTGAAATGGCAATTACTGCAGGGAGGGAAATGCAGTTGGGTGAAAAGAGGTACAAATAATAAAAAAAAAATAGAATAAAGCAGAGAGGGGAAAGGAAGAATGAAAGAAAAAAATTCTAGTGACCTTACATTTTACTATATTTTTGTGCTCAACTCAACAGTGAGATATTGAGCAAATGATCAGTAATATTAACAGCTACATCTGTACGTATTGTACCCAAGCCACAATTTTGCTCACATCTTTGTAAAAATATCAAATTGATTCAAGTGAGATATTTTCTAGGAATAGAGGTTTCCATATAAACCCATATTTATACCCTTTTTCTTAGGACACAGCTAAAATAGAATTCAGATCTTGCCTCAAAAAGAACTATGTATTCCCAGCTCCTGTGCAGTAAACAAAGAGCTCCCTTCTGCCTGGCAATCTCAGCAACCAGCACCCTAACAGCATGGAAGTGTGACGGCAGCAGGGACAGCAAACCGAGAAACCTTAAAATAATAAAAATAAGATTGCAGCTAATAACAAATACCTACCCTTTTTTCCTCCCAGCTCTCAGCTCTTGAATATGTATTATTTCAAATTCTTATTCATAATTTACTGGTTAGTGGTTTTCAATAACTACCAGACCTGGGATTTTTTGCCTCCCTAAGGAAATAAGAGCTTAATTTTGATACAGAAAAGGAGGGGAGGGTGTCACCCTGGGACCCTGATTTACCTTAACTGTTTTCTCTCTTATGCGTGTACATTCTCTGCTCTATCGCACAATTCAAAATGTTTAGGGACTATGCTCTGTGGAAAACCATAGAACAGTCGGAAGAAGAACTAACATCTGATGATCTGCTCCCTGGCATATTCAAACCATCTCAGTGATCTGTGTTAGGAAAAAAAACCCAACAAAACCAGCAGAAAAAATGTTTACATTATGGAAAGGAAACTAAGCTGGAGAGGGACTTTGTGACTTTCCTCGTCATGAATAACAGCTGCCTCTTGTCTCAGGGTATACCTCTAACCTCTGCAGTGTTTGTTCCATGGAAATATTTGAAAAATATTCTTTCTTTCAAAACCAGTTTTAAAAAAAGCCTCTTAAAGTGCCTAATATTTCTTTTCCCTAATTACTGCTACTTTATGTACTGCAAACATGATGGCTACTGGGTTTGCAAAAGTAGGGATACAAGCATGAACATTTCACCTATGTCACCAAACAGAGCATGTATTTATTTCATTTCATAATGAATGAAAGAAAAACCCAGCTGCAGCTGTCAGGTAATACTATAAAGAAAGTTGTGAAGAGAGTTTCAGCTGCAGACAGGTGTCTGCATCCCAAAAGTTCCATCACAGCTGGCACAGACTGATGCTGCTGTTAGCAATTTCAGCAGAGAGGCCAACCAGTGATCTGAGAGTTTATTTATAAATATTTTAGCAGACTGAAGAACCAGGAGGAGTTTTAAATTTACATTTCTTTATACATACTCCCACTCAGAATCTGTGAGCTTAGTAAATCTGTATAAAATCATCACCACAGCCTGACAATAGGATTTACAAGGGCAATGTACCCATAAAGGCAGACGCCTCCACTGACAAGTAGGCAATCTTGCTTTCTGAAAAGATTTTAATTGCTAATTTTTTTTTTAATTCCCCCAAACATTAAATACAGTGTTAATGAAGGATACAACTACTATACAGTGCTTGCCCTTGCAGGGTCTCTATTGTAGTGATGGGATGTATCCTAGCTGCAAAGAGACAGTGCCGAGTGCCAGGAGCTCAACACTGTGGACCTAATTGTGCTCAGGACCACAGGGCACAAGATGAAAGAGCAGACAGGAAGACACTTGCTCTGAAGACTGCTAGAGGATAATGCAGAGCAAATGCAGGATGGAATACAATGCAGGGTGCACGGCATGAAGTGAGGAGCTATCGCTTTTGTCAGAAATGTAAGAACGACATATTCCATACAACAGCAAAGCTTCAAATAACAGTCCTAAGTAACAGTTTTGACCTTCAAACAGTTATCACGTCCCTCACAAACTGCTGTATCAGCCAGGAGAGCCAGACAACTCAGGTGGACTCCAAAATGTGCTAATGGGTCACTAGCACTGTGATGAAGTTATGAGGGATTTCTTCTAGCTGCCCAGTATTACATATGAAGGAGAATTATGAGGCTAGAGAAGAGACGCAAAGGTTACCTCCCCTTACGGTTCAAAAGAGAAGGCAACTAACTTCTTCCCAAAGACTTCACCAACTCCACTCACTCTTTGCTCTGGAGGAAATATGTAAGAGTGGCAGTAAATCAACGAGTTACCTTAGTTATTCAACCATAACTGCAACAAGGTGACAAATGAAGCCTTGTTCACATGACTCGCAGCAAATGTCTTCTTACCGTGAGACGTTTCGAGGCATCCACTTCAATCATCCCCCGCAGAAGATTCTGACAATCTGGGGGGATAAAATGTGGCATGTGGAACACTCCGCGTTTCACCTTCTCCAACAGTTGCCGCAAGTTGTCGTCGTCAAAAGGCAGGGCACCCTGCAGGGATATGACAGTGTGGATGGGGGAGATCAGTGAAAGGGAATTGGAAAGGGCAAAAGGAGAAAAGCCGGGATAAACATGGTAAGAGAATGGAAAAGAGGAAGTCAGCTCATAATGAATTATCATAGTAAGTGAAAAAAACTCTTTATCCATTGAAAATAAATTATTTTTTAGTGCTACAGTATTTTCTCCAACATAGGAAACAAAAGTGAGGACGCAGTTTTTTTATTAGACCTTTAATTAGAAAATGACTACTAGTACAAAACACAATACAAAATATGAAATTGCTTTCAAGGCAAATTCACCAAAGATGCATGGATTCACTTAAATTCAGCTCAAGCTTTTGATCTGCTGGTATTCCTCCTGGGCATACTTTCACAACAGCAATGTTTATCGTCTCCTTATTTTTAATCTTCCTGAGACACATTTGTTACACACATTGAAAAGGAGGTGAACAGCATTTGAGAGACTTTCAGTAAAGAACACTCTCTTTCTGATGAGGCAGTGAAATGACACAGCTGAAAGAAATCATAACTAACATTAGCCTTTGGAAGCCACCGACATTCTACCTGTTTAACATAACTCATCTAGTTCTCATGCTGTGGTCAGGTCATCATTTCCTATTGCTTCCCTTCTGTACCTCACTTACATGAATGGCTGAAGGTTTTTTTAGCTGAAACTACATTTTGAATAGATCATCAGCTTGCCACAAAAAGCAGCGAAAGACCTATCCTTGCTGCAAGGATAAAAAGGAAAAAAAAAGTTGAAATCTTTAGGATAACTCCACCAACTGAAACTCATAGCCTTTTATAGCAAGTCTGCACCTTCCTAGATATTCTCGCTTCCTTCTTTCACTGCCTAGTTCTAGTAGGTGCCGAGCTTCCTTGATTTCCAGGATGGATTGTGGGAAGCTGCAAGCTGTCAGCTGCTGTGATAATGAAGCTTTAAGTTGTCAGTTCTGGCACTGCTCTTACTACAGTGAATAGTGCATTTGTATAAGCAATCCTGTGTCTATGGGTTACGGAGACCAACAGCTCCATTTACAGAAGCCTCAGAAAGCCTACCTGATGATGACTGCAACTGGACACTATTTACTGTTGTTTGTTCATTCAAATGGCCCTGAAGAAAGCCTCCCTGTCTTCTGTAACCAATCTCCTGCTACCTATTTTTTTCCTAACCATTCAAGACTTTAAGGAAAATCAATTCTCATAGTTCAGTACTTTGGCTAACGCAATTTAAGCCATGATGAAGTCAGCAAGGCTACTTCGTGGCATTTCCTGAAGGTAACAACTACAGCTCTTTTATTACTACTACCTGCTATTATAGCTTGAGACTTTTTGTAGGGTTTGACCTGACATAATTAACTGGAGAGCTCTGCACACTCCATCAATAATAGCCTTATTTCAATCATTTTGCAGGCTTATGTATATATGTAGGAACAGATGAAGTTGCAGCAACAGACACCAAATCTTGACAGAGAATCCCCCGGAAAATTAAAAGCCCGCTCATACAAATCCCATCCATCTTGACATGTTCTCTCTTCTATTCTTACAAATTCAAGAAGTTATGTTAAGAGATCATTATACAGTTCTGTTTTATCAGCCATGAAAATAGCTGCTCAGAAGCAACATATGACCAGGTGCTATCTAGTGAGATAGTTAAAATTCTTCCCTCAGAATATCAAGATAAAAAAATCCAAAACTTCAAAAATATCAGTGAATTTTAATGATTAAAATGACAAAAATTGTGAGATTGGTTAAGGTGAATTAACATATCATACTGAGATTACTACAAGGTATTTTGACTTGGGCTATTAAAAACATACCAGCATTTAAAAAAAAAGCCTTTAAAATTTCCAAGTACTTTAAACAAGATTAATGTGCAGAATCTAACTCTGTACATTGTATAAGTGTTTTTGTCAAAATAAAACATTTAAGTGAAGTAATTAGGTTTATTATGTACATGGGCATCCAAATTTGATTCCAGGCTTATTATTTTTATAATTGTAGATGAGTATCTGAACTACTATAGATATAAAAATCTTAATACGCACACACACACACACACAGACACACACAGAAAACCTGTTCTTAAATACATTATTAAATCTGCCCATGGTATATGTTTATATAAATGTAAACTATATTTTCCTACATACTATGGAAATTGATAACAAATGCCAAGCCTATCTGCCTTTAGCTGGACATCCAGTTGTTGCATTGTTTAGGAGAATTACATTACCACTTCAAATCAGAACAAATTCCACAGAGAATTGAAATTTTGATTGAAAGAAGGGTAAATTACAAGATACATTTTTAATACTAAAGAAAGTATTACTGAGCCAGATGGAAACTGATTTAAACTTTGTACTACTGGCTCAGTTTTATATTCCCAAGTGTACTAAATTAAAATGTAGTTCAATACTTGTGTGAAACAAAACTGTTGCACTCAAATCCTCTCTTGATAAAACACTGCAGTTAATGTAAGCATATACCTACTGAAACACATCTACAGCAGAAAAAAACAAACACTTCCCAAACTCAGCCACATTTTGATCTTGTGAAGGACAACCTATTTGACACTCACTGTACCCTGGAGTTGTAACCGTGCACATACTTTCCAGTCAAAATATGTGCTGCAATATCACAACACAGCAGAGAGCATTTATGGAGGCAAGCTTTTGATGCTTGTCTATGCTCTCCCATGCAGGGCAGCAGCATTTCAAAGAAGCAGTGAAATATTCCTCATGCTTTTCCTCTGGGACTGATACAGAAATAAGACAAAAGGATGCAACTGAGAGATACAAATAAAGGGGAACTAAAAAAAAACCCATCTGTACATGATGTCAATAAAATCGCCATTAAATACAGCGCCATTTTCAGATTTTTCTTTTCTTGTTGAAGTATGGTGTAAGGAAGATGACTCACCACTAGCAACGCAAATAAAATGACTCCACAGCTCCAGACGTCTGCTTTCCTTCCGTCATATTTTTCTCCCTGTGCAACAATGACACAGAGGCTCAAAAGACTGCTTGCTAGTAAATTAATTAATTACCCTTGAAGAACAAAAGAGGGGAGAATGGGAAACCCCACATTTCAGTTCAGCCACCTGCTTCCCAACGTGGCCTTCCCAGCTAGGAGGCCATGCCACAGCCCATTAATTGAATTTTTAAGAACATCAGTTTACAGTCTTATCTGGGATCCGTGAGAACAGGGTCAGAAGTGGGGAGCAGGGCAGGAACGGTTGACAACTCACAAATTATTAGACCTGGCACTTAAACAGTGTCAGAGGTGCATTAAGGACTTCAAGAAGGTGTTTTTCTCTTCCCTGGTTCTTCAGAGAGCTTGTCACCAGTCACATTATTTGTGAACTCAAGAGTATTGTCTGGACAGTCTCTTCTGTACGCTTCCTGCTTGGCTTTACATTAAAAATAGGCTTTAAAAGAGGGGAATCTTGGTCACTGAAATCTTGGATACTTATTTCAGAGGACAAAGGGAGAGTAGAGGGAAAGGATAGTTCATATCATTTAACAGAAACCAAAATTACTGACAGCCAACCCTGGTTCTTCTACTGAAATGACAGCTAGATCAGAAAGAGGAAAGCGTAAGGGACTGCATCCCCTGTGTGGAAAGATGAAGTTAAACAAGGCTACTGTATTTCTGCCTCATCACATGGCACAAAGGGTACTGTGAGAATTATACATGATCATTTCCCTCATATGGTCTATGTAGCTTGATTCAGGGCTGAGCCAAACAAACAAAACTGTAGTTACATTCCTTGTGTCTTTTCCAATGCTACCTGCTTTGGACAGACTTCCTGTACAGAATATCTGCATACTTGCAATGAGTAGTACTTTAAGAAATATATTCATACACACTAATGTTAACCAACTTACCCGGATGACTTCAGGGCAAGCATAATGCGGTGATCTGAAACACAAATGACAGTCGAATGAGCATGTTACAGCCTGGTATTTGTGGATTACGTGCATTTCCATTTTGTTTAGCAGAAGCATGATTGGCTTGCTTAAACAGAATGCAAGTGTGCAAAACCAGCACTTTTTTTCCTTACCTCAATGAGAATACATTCCTAAGAAACTCAGTAAATGGTCAAGAACTATCAAAACTCAAAATTCTATGTCCCCACTACGAATTTCTTAAAAGCAAGGAACTAAGAGAACACCAGGCATATTCTGTGCCTATATGGAATTCCAGCCCTCAAATCCCACCCTTTAATTTCGCCTTGCATCTAACTAGAAGGAAGACCCATGCTGGATAGTTTATTATAAGAAAAAAGACAGAACAATATTTTCAGACCAACACATGCATCCCAAGATGTCTTGGACCTCTCCTATTAACATTGCTCTCAATTACTCCAACAGACATAAAAGCTGCCAATACATGATTTCAGCATGCTTTTTTTTTCCTTTAAAAAACTAAAAAGGATGGACAGTAGTACTATTACCTGGTGAGTTAATATATTCTTTTCTCATCCGTCTGCCCATGTATCTCTGGTTTGATTCCTGGCTGAGAATTGTTAATTACTTCAATTTGCCAGGTAATCATTTTAATTCTTAAATACTATAGCCACGGCTATTTATTTTATAGCCTTCATTAAAGTAACTTGACAAGTAAAAGGGATGCAAACTGTCGGAGACCTGTGTGCAAATCATGCTTTTGTTTATACTGACACCTCCCAGCAATCCCTGAGCCTGCCTTCATTTGTGCATTTGTTTCTTGTGACAACCGTGATCATGGCTGGGCAATACCTGTCTCACAAAGTAATGAGCAAAACAGAAGCACAGTGAGGTTAGCTTTGTGTTAGGATGCTACATTTATGCCCAGTGAGACAGCCCATTAATTGGATTTCCATACACACTACACTTATCTTACAGCAAAATATCATCCCATGGGCATGGAATGCCCTGATTTGGTATCACAGCTTTTGGCAGACAATGATAATAAACTCAGGGTACACTTGGGACTGCAGCTACCTTGACAGCAAAGTGTAAGTGAGGAGAGAGAAATGCACTTGATCTTTCCCAAATTTTAGGAAAGGTGGAATTCAGAAGTCTAATACAATATTTAATAAATCACCACCAGCCTCCCTCTCCCTCTGACCTCCCCCCCCATTTAAGAGGTTATCACAGGTATTCTAACCAGGTATATCTGCTCAGTAGTGATCCCAAGTGTCTTAACTGAGACTGAATTTTAAAAACCTCAGTTCAAGAGTTAAAACAGATAACAAAAACCAGAGCCTTCCCTCAGAGAGCTGGCGAGACTTGGCCCTTGGGAGACTAAAAAGAATGGACTTCTGCCTAGTGGGCTCTCTTGGCAGCTTTGTCACTGGCAGCCATATGGACATGGACAAAGCTACTTAATGTTTTTAAAAGCTGCTGCTGGCCACAGTGTGAAAAAGGTTACCAGAACCCTAGAATGAGTCTACTCTTCTGACTAAAACAAGAGCAATGCCACCACAGCTTTCATACCTCACAAAAGCTTGCATGACTAAATTAACTTGGATTTTTATAATGCTTTAACCTTTCAGGGCAAAAGCTTCTACAGTATAACAAAGAGCACGATGGCAAAAATAATAAAATAAAACTAAAGCAGTCAGTAATGTTAACAAAGTTCTTGCTTCTTGACTAAGTAGGGGATGATGTGGGGGACTTACAGCATATTTCTGGCTACTGCTGGAGAGAAAGTGAGACCAGAGTGAGACACTGGATTGCTTAATGTTATGTATGTGTGCCCAACCAAGACAACATCGGATTGCTTAATGTTATGTATGTGTTCCCAATTCTGTAACGTATACTGTTCCCTGTGAATTTGCTTCTATATAGCAATCCAACAGCTACTCTACATCTGCTCTTTTTAATAACCCAAAGCCTTAACCATTGAACAGTCATGCCACTGGACTAATGCATGACTTTACACACTTTTAGAAGACAAGTTAAATTATTCTTGTAAGAATGCTTGACTAATGGTGTTGTCTCTTCTTCATACCATAAAAATGGTGTATAGTATACAGACCATCCTTAAGGTACACAGAAATCAGAATTAAGAAGCAGCAGCAGAATCTGGACTGCAACCCACATCTGGACAAGCACAATTAACTGTCACTAGTGCTAGACTGCTTAGACAGAACAGAGAAAGACGGCAGTATGGGAGCTGTAGGGAAGGTAGTAATGAAACTCTAATTTGGAAAAGAACACATTAGCAAAAAGAGCATAGGAATTAGATCACGGACATTCACTCAGTCAAGTCACCTCAGAATAGAAAGACCAGCTCTAACGTGCTACATAACCAAGTCACATGAGGTTTATAGGAAAAGATATCAGGTGGCAACAAAGGAGTGAAGACAGAATCTAGGTTACTGTGACTTAGCATGTCTGAGTTTCTCAGGCTTGCATGCATTTTAGCTTCTGTCGAGTACGATGCTACCATTGCCCTTCCTACAGAAGGTGAGTCACAGAACCAAATAATACATTAAATGGCAGGTGGTGTTTGTGGCTGAGCGAGACCTCTCGAGTCCTGCATGGTATCCTGTACAGTTCAGCATCATTCTTCAGCACAATACTTTTTTGTTAGCCATGCCATCTGCGGTCCACTGGAAGAGTCAGTATCTCAATTTGAAGAGTGCTTCTGAGTATTTATTTGTGTATGATAACTCCAACAAAGATTTCAGAACTCTGTGATTATGGCTGCTGAGCAAATCAACTACCTTGACAGCTTCCTGTGCTAACATCCTTGAAAAGAAGAATATAAACGTTGTGAAGAACCCAAAATAGGTGCATTATTATTTATGTGTCCCACTAGCAAATGCACTTAAAGCATTTACCTTCGTTGGGTCAGATGGAGTGCAGTGGAATCTGCTAGGTTTCTTACAAGGCACCACTGAAATTCTGCTAGTATCTGTGAGAATGGATGGAGGAAATGCTATAATAAATCCTGTCAACAAGTTGGATTAATTTGAGCATTCAACAGCTACCCTGCAACTGCCTGGAAAGCACAGGTTTCTGGCATAGCCATTCAGAATTCTTGCCAGCACACACTAGCTGGATATCTGCAGCATTATCTTGGATAAAAGCTCTAGGAGGGATCCTCTGGCCAGCTAGAATCCACAGAAAACTCATTTCCATGCTACCAATCACAGAGCATCTTCAACTGCTTTAAAGTGAAAACGCAAATTTAATCAAAAATCTATTTATCTTTCTACAGAGTCATGAATATTTCTTTGGCTCTCATCACTAATCATTCCATATATGTGTGTAAAGAGCAACATTCCTTGCCTCTTACCCTAGGACATCTCCTCATCATTCAGCTACATCTCTGTGCAGCAAAAGCCACAATCTACCCTTGATAACAAATAAGTGTATCGCTCAGCAAGATCAAGAAGCAGATGCTGCCTGTGGGTACTGCCGCAAAAAAAGCACCAATGTTGCCAGTATTTATTTCAAGGGTGATGTGAATTTTCCCAGGCTAGTCTGCCTGGGGCAGGAAGGGCTCTCTGAATGGTCATTCACAGCTATGACTCTAGGACACAGTAATCTTAAGGATCTTCAGGGACCTCAGCAAAGCATTTACGTGGGATTTCAACCAGAGGAAATAAGTCAACATGCAATGGTGAAATCCAGGACAGTCTTGGACAGGTAAGTCAGGCATTCAGAAAGAAATGTACATATCCTTGATATATCTATCTTCAATTTCATCTGAGAAACTATAAAGTAGTTTGTGATCTAAGCACATCAACATACAGTGCACCTACAGTAGATCTGAGACAACCAGAGCCATATCTTCAGTGCAGATGTGATGTGCCTGTGACCCACAGGCCTTACTATGTGTAGATAAGAGAGACCTGCACTGTGTACACACAAATCGATTGCCTGTGTATGGTTTACCTAGGAATATACAGTAACTGCTTTTCCAGAAAAGCAGCTGGTTGATCAAGAAGCACAGGCAAAGCTGTGTGACCCTACTCCACAGTGAGAAAACTCATGTGTTACACTGCCACTGGGTTTCCAGGTACCACCAAAGATGACTGTCCATGCCTAGGTCCTCTGGTCTCATGCCTTGAGATGGTACCATTTGGGGAAGAAGAGTGTCATTCGTTAGGCTGCAACATGGCGGCAGAGTTTCTGCAGAGAGGGAGGAACAAAAAGTCTCCTCCCCCTGCTTTTCTTATGCATGAAGTTACCCTGATACAGGAGGTTGTAAAGGTGCAGTGAAAGTCATCCCACATCTATCTGGTTTTGCTGTTGCTTGAATGCTAGAGTTTCTCCTTCTTTACCCTCCCCTTTCCTCCCCCTCCACTGTCTCCAAGCTGGCTTTCAGAAACAGAAGCTACCCAGTAGTTCAAAAGGCTGCCTGTGCTTTCCCCCAGCACAGGGGGAAATGGGGATAGCAAAGGGTTGAGATGAAGGGAAACACCACAGGAGTAGCAAAATAGATAAAGAGAATTCTTCAGAAGGACGTATGTTAAATCATCCTAAGTGGAGAAAGCAACAGCCACAGATCACACACAGAAGAAATGAAGAGAGAATGAAGAAATGGTTCCAGTAGCAGTTGGCAGTTAAGGCTGCAGAGAAGGCAGTAGCTCTAAGTTACTGTAATTAAGGTAGTAGGTATTACAATAAGGCTGTAATTAAGGTAGTAGCTGTAGTTAAGACTGAGTACTATTTTGCCATTAAAGCTTCAACTCAGTCATCTAGCTTTGTAGGAGAAAACTCAGAATCTAGGCCTCAGCCATTTTACAGATTTTTGCTCCTCAAGAGCAATTACATTCTTGGGGAATCTGCAAATCAGTACATTAATTACTATGCCAGTTCAAATTCTTAAGACTTGGAACCTTTAAGAGATCTTAATTTAAAAAATGAAACAGACCTCTGTATGAAAAGGACAACAGATTGCAAAGTTAAGTATTCAAAAGT